TTGATGGACTATGGATGTATGTCATAGTAGTAGGCGGCGAAGGTCTGATCGATCTTAACTGATGAGTGATACTGAACAATTGCCACAGAACTTTTATAAAGAATCAAATTTTGTACGAATTATCAAATGGTGAAAAATAATGATATTCAAAGACAAAGAGTTTAAATTATTTCAAACCAATTCAGCGTCCTCTTGTTAACTACTCGAAAAATGGGGCAAAATTAAATAAATTCAGCTTGTCAAATCTCCTCGGAACACATCACTCTGGAATTTTGCTTAACTTGATCTTCATTGTCTACAATTTTAAACATAAAGTTCTATCGGCTTACCTTCAATGAACAGCTAGTTATTATTGGAGGAAAGAAAATTACCGCTGCTAACTTTAAATAGTTGCTGAGTGTGGAGTGAAATTGCAGCAGTGCCTCGCTGTAAAATTGAGAGATGAAAATTACTAGTGACGAGCCAACACGACTAAATAACACAAAAATATGTTGTTTAAAAAGAAAAAAGGAATGCATGCAAAACACGGTCCTTCATGATTTTTTTAATTTGTACTATAAGAGGCATACCACAAGAAATCTTTAATTTAGGCCCCAAAGCTTTTAGTTATATTTATGTGAAATAAATTGGGCCATTTGCTACATGCATAAAGCGACCATCAGACATAGGTCTCTCCTGAAACGATCATTGGTGATATCTTAACACGATTTACATGAGGTATAATATCTCGGAATCTTATGGTTTAGTTGTACTTAAATGACATGCCTCAGGTGAGCAATGGACGATTTCCAAGTCTTTTTGTTTCTGGGTAGGACAGAAAGTTATCATCCACGGCGGCACTCTAAAAGCCTCTAAATTAGTAAAAGGAAGAGAAGACCTCGGTCAAGCTTAGCTACCTCAACTGAAAACACCCGTCGAAATCACTCAATTTATATAGTATTCCTACGTAATGGCTAAGTTAAATGAATCAATAGCACAGGTAAACAGGAAGAGGACATGAATAAAAATTAGTAAATGTATCGCATGACCTCATACTTTACAGGTGTAGACTCTATTTTTGACCACTTTCCAGCATTTTGGTAGGAGTGACTGAATATCTTTTTAAAGTTGAGCCTACAGTATGCTATAGATTACATTATTCAGCTTTTTTTTGTTAAATCGCAAGCCATGAAAACACGCATGGAATAGAACTAAAAAAAAACACGGTTCCAATCCTTTTAGACTCCATTTACCTCGCACTTTCTTCTATGATCTGAATTTCGGTTTGTTTTTAAACTAAATGGGCTAGATTAACAACCTTTCGTTCTTCTTAATTCATTCTGGTGATGACTCCGCCGCTTTGGAAAGCGACATGAACAACAACAATAAAACTTATTTATTTACTTTGGCAATTCTAATTCCTATCTAACAATCCCTACCCGAAAAATAGCGAGGCTAATCGAGGTGGGAGGGAAACAAACGATCTTCAATACCAAGTTTAACTGTAAAGAGGAAATAACTAGGAGAGCAT